AGCAGGAAGCTTGGGATGGAGTCCCCGCTGGGAGGTGGCTTGTGGCTCCTGCTGCCCCAGGTCACTGTCTAGGCTGAGCTGCAGGCACTCCGTCTGCATCCTTCACGGCGGTGTCCCCAGTTTAAACCACCAACAAACCCATGCCAAATCATTTTTTCTCAGGAACACACACACGTGGGAGACCTCACCATGGCCACCAGCCAGCAAAGATGGAAAATGGCAGGATCACTGGGCAGACAACCCCAGACTTGAGAGGGAGCAAAGGATGAAGTTCTTTGAAACTTTCTGACCAGAAACCAAACGGCTTGAAAATGGCTTTAGCCATCAAACAAGCTGTTGAAATATCTCAGCCATACCAAACCCACTGCCCCGGTAAGTAACAAAACGTTGCAGACACAGTAAGAGGTCTTTGACTCTCTCTCCCACTCAGAGTTACCACCACCTGGATTCTGGTTGTTTATAGTTTCCATGCATGTTTTTATCCTTTTATTATACTAAAACGTGTCCACAAACAATTCCTAATATTTTTCTATGCTTTAACGCATTGTATGATTAGTGAGTCTTCTGCCCTTGTTCTTGCCACTCAACGCTGCAATCTAGATTTATCCGTGCTGATACATGTAGTTCTAGTTCATTCACTTTAACTCTTGGGAGATATTTCACTGTGTAAATAAACCACAATTTATTTACCCCCCTCTCTTGCTAAGGAACCTCAAGGTTTGTGTCCACTCATTTTGGTTATTACAAATGATGCTGCAACGTATATTCTTGCATACATCTCCTTGTGTACGAGTGAGAGTCCTGGTGAACACTGTCTAAGAGAAATATAATGTGAGCCACACGTGGAATGTCAGTTACCAGTAGCCACATTTTTAAAAAGTGAAAAGACACAGATAAAATTCAGTTAGTAATCTATTTTATTTAACTCAATATATCCAAACTATGGTCATTTCAATGTTATCAGTACAGAAAAATTACAAGATATTTTACATTTTTTTGGTGTTAAGTCTTTGAAATCTGGTGTGTATTTTACACTTACAGGACAATTCGGACACTAGGTTTTCATCAGAAGTATTTCATCTTATGTAGATTTCATACAATTGACAGGTTAAAAAAGTAGGTTCACAGCCTCAAGTTGTTCCAAATATACTTAAATGTTTTCCAATAACCAAATCGAGTATGAATTCTTACGTTTAGATGAATTAAAATTAAATAAAGTGTTTAAAAGTCTCATTCCTCAATCATACTGTCCACATTTCAAGTGCTCAAGAAATACATGTGGCTGGTGGCTGCCATACTGGGCAGTGCAGGTAGAGGGTATATGCCTAAGAGTGGAATTGTCAGATCATACGTATAACCTACGACAGGTATAACCACATCCTTAACTTTTTAATCTCCATATCTTTGCCAGCACTTGGTACTGTCAAATTTACTCATTTCTGCCAATCTGGTGGGCGTGAAATGCTCTCTTGTTTTAATTTGCATTTCTCTGATTATCCATAAAATGTTCACCTTCTGCAAATATCCAGCTTATAAACTTTGCCCACTTTTTCTTTGGGGTTGTCTTTTTCTTACCGCTTTGCAGGGTTTCTTACATTCTCTAGATTCAGTTCTTTTGTTGCTTGAGTGAGCTGGCAATATCTGATTCGAGTCATCTTTTCACTTTGTTTATGTGTCTTTTTAAGGACAGAAGTTTTGAATGTTGATGTAGGCAAATCTTTTTCATGTTTTATCATTTTTATTCTTTAGACAAATACTTCCTTACCCTAGGGTCACATCCTCCGAGATTTAAGTGACTTTTTAAAATAGTTGAAAGGAAGTGTTTAGTTTGAGAGAGATGTTCTTCTGGCGGCTCTGCCAGCTGGCTCCAGGCCTCACCCTCAGTTAGATGCAGAAGCTGCTCTGAGCAGCAGCGCAGCATGTCACCCTGTGCTACCATGTTACCACTGTTGGGATCCACTTCCTCTGACTGTAAAACCACATCCTACTTTGGGTTCCTCTTTCTGAGAATGGCCAGGCCAAAGGCTTTTTTTTTTTGACTCAAAGTGTGGAGGACAGTCAGGAATTCTGGAAAATCCATTTACAATGCTTTGGCCAAGCTCAGCAAGGCATCTTTGGCCACTCAGTCCTGAGGCTAAGATGAGCACATGCGGCAGGAACTCCCCAGGACTCTAGCCAAAGGGATGGATGGGGCTACCTCAGCGCTGTCGAAATGAAGCCTTCGACTACACTCATCCATCTGGGATACAGGGAAACACTTTGATATTAAAAACTCATTCCTAAAAGAGGAAAACTCAGGATAGGGTGGGCCAGACAGAATCAAATGCCAGAGAGGGGACAGGAGAAGGTTGGGAATTCTTTCCCTCTTTGTGGGCCCAGGACCAAGGACGCAGCTGCTAACAAGCCCCAGCTCTCCACGAGGCCCAGACCTGTCGCTCTCAGTATGTATGGGACACAGATGTCAGCTAATCCCGAGGCTTTAGAACTGCTCCAAGAATGCGGATTGGTACAACCACTTTGGAAAACTGTTTAGCAGTATCTACTAAAGGTGAACACATATGCCCTACGACCCAGCAATTAATTCCACTTCTAGGGATACTCACTCACCAGAAATGCCAGCACAGGTGCGCCAGAGGAAGCATACAAGAGTATAGCATCGCTATTCATAGTAGTCCCCAAACGGAAACTTCCCAAGTGCTCATCAGCAGTAGAATGGGAAAATAAACTGTGGTTTCCTCTCCTGATGGAATGTTACATTAGCAGTGAGAGTGATCTATAGATCTAGGGAATGTTATATTAGCAGTGAGAGTGGGTGATCTATATATTCAACAATATAAATGAATCTCACACATATAAAGCTGAGAGAAAGACGTCAGGTACAAAAGAGTATGTGCTCATGATCCCATTTATACGGAGATCAAGCGCTGGCAGAAGAGTCTATGTTGGCAGAAGGAGAGATAGGGGTTACCTCGGGTGGAAGGCAGTTTACCCTGGGGGAAAGTGGCACAGGGGTGCTGGTAACTTTCGGTTTCTTGATCTGGGAGCTGGGGACCTTCCACAGACTCATTGCACCCTCAGTCCAAGTGGCTCAGATGGGTTGACTTCTCTCCCGGCTCCCGGAGTGGCCTGAGACCCAGGCCCAGCCTATCAGAGCCCTGCATTTCCCCTGGCCACAGGGACTGGGTTGGAAACAGGAATGGGACGTAGCCCCAGCCAACTGTCGTACCTCTCTGGCTACAGTGATTCTAGGATGGACATGTGACTATCAAGTCAATCGCATGGGTTTTGACATCTGGACTTCTTTGGGGACTTTCTCCTGGGAGAACAGAAAAGACAGAATATCTACCAAGAGCTGCTGGTGACCACCCGCTGCTCTGAGGGGGTGGAACCTGAGAAAGGACCAACGTGGAGGAAAGCAGAGCTCAGTACGGAAAGTGAAGCAGGGTCCTGAGGACAGCCTTTGATTCCCTGGATCCAGCCATGCCTGAAGCTACACTCTACCCCTAGAATTTTCAGTTCTATCAGCCAAAAAATCCGCCCCAGCCCCGCCTTTTTGTTGTTAACTTAGAGCAGTTTGAGTTGGATTTTCTGTCACTTGCAGCTGAAAGTATTTATTTCCATTAATAGAGCAGAACATTCCATTTTTGGAAGCTTCTAGTGTTAGAAATTTCTTCCCTTGGACACTGGCCCACCTCTAAGAGCCAGCCCCGTCCTTTGCGCTGCCATCTAGAGGCACATGGAGTTGTTATCTGATGGCTCTTCTGCTGGATGGTGGCCCCAGCACCTCTGTTCTCCCTACAGAGCAGATTTAGACTCTTTTGCCAAAGTTTGGCCCTCCAAGAAAACAAGATGCTCCAGATGGGGCCTGGCAGGCCAACTGGAGAAGAATGTTCTAGTCACCAAACTCCCATTCGTTTGGCCTAAAAGTGTATCAGGCTCCCCTGCCCCGCCTCCCCTTCCCACCGAAAGTTCTTTGGTGGCCACATCACCAAGTTTGCTGGCTGCCAACCCTCCAGATATTTCTCACAGTAAGCCAGGATCTCCCAGTCTGTACAGGAACACTAACTTCCTGAATCTAAACGCAGGAACTCACAATTATTCTTGGGAATTTCATCTCATGGAAATAATCAGCACTCATAGATTATTGGATTTGACATTTTGTATATATCACTTAGCCTGAGATATTTTAGTTTATTCGACTAGTATTTATTAAGTACCAGGAATCGTGCAAGGTGCTGGGAACACAGTGGTGAATGAGACAAAGGGTCCCTCCCCAGAAGGCGCTTACACACCAGTAGGGGAGACACAGTAGACAAGAAGAATGTTCCCGCGTTGTATCAATGCGCTGAAGGACAGAGTGTCTAAGTGACGATATGGTGGAGGACAGCCATCACGTCCTGAGCCGACAGAAGGCGGGCCCTTGCCGCTGGAGCGTAGGGGAGGGTGAGGGATGAGATGGGCTGAGGAGGTCAGCAGGGACCAGTCCTGCAGAGCCTTTACAGGGGAAGCACCTGGCTTTCACTCTAGGAGCAATGCAGTGAGTGCACAGACAGCCCTAGAGGGTTTTAGGAAAGGGAGCCACCAGATCCTATTTGCATCTGAAATGATGCTGGAGGGTTGCAAGCACGCAGGCGAGAATGTAGGGCAGCTCGTGCCACAGATGACTGTGGCTTGATCCAGGAGGAGGAGATGGAAGGGGAGAGGGAGGGAATCAAGGTATATCTATGAGCTGGTGGCGGGGGCGCGCGGTGTAGGGGCGGTGGTCAGATGGGGGCCAGTGAGGGAAGGAGCAAGGATGACAGGCAGGTTTGGGCTTGGGAGACTGCACGGCTGGTGGATATTTACAGAGATGCGAAAGTGTAAGGGAGAAACAGATTTGCA